GCTTTTTAATATTTAGCATGAGAAAAAAACTGCAAAATTATATAAACTGACTGCAAGAACTGTTTCAATAATCCAGCAACGCGAAAATGCAGTGAATCTTAGGACCAAGTGTATGTTATCATTCCGGTCAAATATCACCGTACAGTAGGGTGCCAACCTGCGATTATAATGCAGATAATTTAGCCGAATTCACAGCTACTTCCTAAACCACGCTTGGTGCCTTTATTTAATCAATTTCGAACAGACAACGCAAACTAACAGTCAGAAAAAAAGCTCCTTTAGGATGGTTTCCGAGTGCGAATGCGATACTTCCTCTCCCAATATCAATTCAGCCAGGGATTCTACTGGAAAGAAACAGACTGTCTGGTGCTTGCAACCGCTTCTAGAAACGCCGCTGCGTCGTAAGATTAATTTAGTCAAAACGGCAAGATTTTAGAAGATATGAGATACTGAAAAATATCGCCTACTTTAGTGATCGATGATTCGCTTTCGGATAGCGCTAACGTGCTTTCGGCATCCACGTCTCTGTCAAATTTACTAGCTGCGTAGCTTTTTAAGGTCTCCAGCATCTACAAAGTAAAGTTTTTTGGTTAATATACGAATAAGCTAAAATGAAAACCATGAACACAACGAGGCCTGAACAATCAGTGTGGAGAACTGGTAATACTACTGGGGTACTTTCATACATCGGGAACAGCTACACCAGCCTGAACTGCGTAATTCCCGCTAGCATATACCGCTACCGCCTTTTCGAAGGTGGCTTTGTTGAGTTCTGTAAGGAGTGCCACGGCTTAAAACATATCGTATTAGAATACCTTCCTGAGAACATAATAAAGTGCTTGGTTGGAGATTGTTAGAAGAAAGGTTCACTTCAAAAATAAGTGCTACACGAGTCTTTATGCATGAAAACCCTCTTTCACGCTCTATTCGTGAAATGGCATGTTGCGGAAAGGGATGAATATGAAAGTAATCAAGCCCTACTTTTTTACTCCGCTTGTTTTCACCTGCAGTGATGTGTTAAACGATTGTGCTTTCGATTCGCAATGAAAAAACCAAACAATTGCGTAGTTTTTACCGCAAATTCAGAAATTAAAAACAATCAATACTTTCCCAGCTTTTAGCCAATACTGCGCACAGTGCTAGGCACGTTACTAGAGCACAGAAATAAATTTTGAATATCTAAAGGAAGAGAGCACCTTTGCAGCAGTTACTGGATTCTCTTGATTTCTATCGTCAGCGCTTGTTGAGGGAATCGACGGATCAATGAAATGGCGCCGATGGCGTGCGTGTACAATTTGTGATTTATACGCCTTTTCTTTTAGTACAGATCGTAAGCGATCCTGAAATATTAAAGAACTGTTAAAACTGCTATTTTTATGAAGAAACTCAAACAAGACTGTTGCTAGGCAGGCTCTTACCGGATTTTCGACAGCTGCTTTCGTTGGTGTTAAACAAACCGCTTCCTTCTCCGTTTCAATGCTTTTCAGAATGCTGCAAAAATGAGAACAATAAGGCTCAACAATGACTGCGCAAAACCGATTTCAAAGAAAAAAGCGCATTCCAGGAAAATGCCCGAGTGATTAGCAAAAATTTAAAAACAAAAAAGCATAAGTTACTCGTTATAAATCGTCGATACTGTTTTTTGCACCAAATTGATATTTAAATCAGCGGATATGCTCAATTTTTCTTTTGCAGCAAGATATCTGAAAAAAGAAATTTATGACGAGATAATATGTAAACCTAAGGCAGAAAGGGCTGGAAGCACTGGTTGATGAATACAGATCAAAAAACCCGTTCAGGTCGGCATATAAGTATTGCCGACTTTTCCACACGTGTTATTCGGCAGTTTTCAAAGAAACATATCGGCACATGTTTGCTTAATGATACATAAGCACTACTGTCCTAAAAAATCAAGGCAGAGCCTCCAAAAATAATTATGAATTCCCAACAAAACATTACAACGAATTTACCGCTTGGATAAGATA